GCGGGGATCCCTGGGGTTCGGCAGGCGGCTGCGGGGGGATGCGCCAGCAGGGCCAGTCCCTCTGCCTTCAGGGAATCCCCCCAGACCACCAGTGAAATCAAATTACTCAATAAATAAACGGCGCAGGGGAAAGCTTCGTCTGCAGGATCCCTTTGGCCATGAGGGCGGTAACCAGTTCTGCACCCTACGCGGGCTTGCTCTGCTTTCACCACAAAATCTTGAATTCAAGGTCCTTAACTTGAAATGAATTCAAGATCTTTGTTTTAAAAATAAATAAATAAAATCCCAATTCAGCATCTGTTCTGAGCAGAAATCCTTGGGCAAAACTGCTTATCCTCCCGCAGAGATGATCCAGGGCTTTCGCTGGACTCAAACCTCCCGACTAACGCAATCCTCGACCACTGGGAAAAAAACCCAGGTCTTAGACCACAGCTCTGCAAAGCCCCTCTCTGGGATTAAGCAAACCCTGACGCTCCCCTCGCTTCACCCAGAGCCGAGCACATGCTCAAACACTTTGCACTTACGTGCTCTGTTGACACGGAGCTGCTGCGTCTCTTGCCAGCTCTGCTATTTATTTTCTTTTTGACCAGTGCCAACATTTCCCTGGTTGTGTTCTGGAAAGATATTTCCTAAGCTCCCAGGGGAATTTTGCCTTTGTGAAACCAAAGTCCTGCCATGAAGCGTTCCCTCTAATAGTGGCACGTTATCTGGGGTCCCCAGAAACCCACCAGCACTCACCCCTACAGAAACACCTAGGTATTGCTCTAGAGGAGGCTTCGCTGCCCTTTCACACACCAAGAACACAAAAACCAGTTTGGGTAAGTTAGTCACACATATACTAGAAAGCCACCAAAAATTAACTGTATTTTTTGTCTATTTGCACACAAAAGAAATAGCGCATACAAAAAAATTGCAAAAGAAAGCAATGATCAGTGGTCACTAATTTCATAAATTGGATTAAGAAGCAATGGCACGCCATGTGCCAACTCCAAGCATCGCTGTCTATACCCATCTGCAGGTACGCGTGT